ACGATTGGATACAAGCCTTTGTTAATGTAACCATAAGACACCTCCCTAAAATCCATTCTGACCATAACCCTGTCCTAATCAACCTTAACAGTAGATTTGATTCCGGTAATGATAGACCTTTTAGAATAGAAACCTATTGGTGTTCCCATCCGGATTTCCATAGGATTGTATCACATAGTTCGGAAAATAAAGACCTAGTAGAAGGAATTTAGTCCTTTCAAAAAATGTTTTAGACTGGAAAAAAATACCTATGGCAATATTTTTTCTAAAAAAAGAAAATTCAGAGTAGAATTGATGGGATTCAAAAATCTCCTAATTACCCAACAAGCTACTTCCTTAAAGATTTGGAAACTAATCTAATTGAAGACTATAACACAATAAATAGAAGAAGATTAATGAAAGCTTCGCTCTAGAGTTAATTGGTTAAACGAATGTGATGCAAATACCAATTCACATAAAAGCCACTAATAGAAGGAGAAGAAATAATATTGTCTTTTTTAAAGACAACTCGGGGAATTAGATTGAGGACCAAGCCTCCCTGATTAACCATGTTACAGATTACTTCTCTAATATTTTTACAACCTCCCACAATAGGTCTGACTAGCGATCTATTAAAAAAGATAATGTTAACTTCTCACATATTGACCTCTCTAACCTAGATAAGCCCTTAAGAAACCGAAAGATAAGAAAAGTTATATTTTCTTTTAAACCTTACAAGGCCCCAAACCCCGATGGGTTACACCCATTCTTTTTCCAAAAAATTTGGCACATTCTAGGAAGTAAGGTCATCAATCTGTGTCAACAAATTTTTTTCACCTCAGTTATGCCCATGATATTAATAAAACCTATCTTTGCCTAATCCCTAAAATTAACAATGCTAATAGCTTGAAGAATTTTAGGCCAATAAGTCTTTGTAACACGATTTGTAAGGTGGTTACTAAAGTCATTGCCAATAGAATCAAGCCTTATCTCAATCACCTCATCAATATACAACAATCTAGCTTCCTAAAAGATAGAAGAGCTAGTGATAATGCTATTATTATCCAAGAAGTTTTAAAGAAGTTTAATTTAGCCAAAGGAAAGAAAAACTTTTTACTAAAGCTTGATTTGGAAAAAGCATTCGACAAATTAGAATGGTCTTATATCTATCGGACGCTTAAATTTTTTTTAAATTCCCTCCACAAATATCAGCCCTCATCCTTAGCTGTATTACCACAAGTACTATTTCTATCTTGGTTAATGATAACAAAACTGAAGAATTCACTCCCCAAGAGGTATTAGACAGGGGGACCCCATGTCACCCTACATATTCATACTATGCATGGATATGCTTTCCAAGAATATTAACAACTAAGTAGATACTAGGAATTGGGTGCCTATTAAGCTTAATCCTAGGTCCCCACCCTTATCTCATTTGTTTTTTGCTGACGACCTAACCCTTATGGGTGAAGCCAACACAAAAACAATTACTACTATTTGCAAAAGTATGGAGAGTTTTTGTTACATATCTGGATTGAATATCAACAAAGAAAAATCAAAATTGATCATGTCAAAGAGCTGTAATCAACACAAGAGAGATCTGGCTACTAAGACTTTTGGGATAACCATTAGTAAGACCTTTGGTACATATCTAGGTTTCCCAATGCTAAACAACTACCCTAGGCACAAGGATTATCAACCCTTACTTGATAAAATACGAGCTAAATTAAACAATTGGAATGCTAGATGGTTAAGTATGGCAGGCAGGTGCACATTAATAGCATCAACCCTAAATACAATTCCAAATCACCTAATGCAAATAAGTCTTCTACCTACCAAAACCCTAAATGAAATAGACAAAATCCAAAGAGACTTCCTATGGGGGACTACAAGGGAAAAGAAAAAAATCCACCTAATTGGATGCAACATGATTACCGATACTAAAACCAATGGTGGATTAGGTATTAAGAAAGCAAAATCAAACAATATGGCCCTCCTAACCAGCTTGGCATGGAGGATCCTTAATAATCCATCCTCCTTTTGGGCACAAATTCTTATTAGCATTTACGGGAAGAGTGAGAGAACAAATGGTTGTTCAAACACCTGAAAAAGTCTCCTTAAAGGATGGACTGTTTGTAATAAGGGTATTAGGTGGCCAGTAGGCAGACATTCACATATGAATGTCTGGGACACAAACTGGATTCCTAATATTATAAGTCTTCATAATAATATTTCAGGCCCATTAACTCTTAATGAAGAGAGCTTAACTATTGAAGATATTTGGGATAATAAGGGTTGGAATTTAAGGAAAATCTCATTTGATCTCCCCAAAATTATTATAAATAGTATTAATGCTTTAAATCCCAAATGCCACATCAATCCCCCTAACAATCATATTTGGAGTCTAAACCCAAGTGGTATATTCTCAACAGCCTCTTGCTACAAGCTAATTGACGAGGAAACACCTTATAGTCTCAATTTTAAGTGGATCTGGGACCTTAAGTGTCCTAACAAGATCAAAATATTTATATGGAAATTCCATCACAACAGACTTCCTACGAGAGGCTACCTAGCCAAAATTGGAGTTAATATAAACCCAAACTGCCCAATATGCAAAGACACCACTGAGTCTATATGCCATATCTTCTAGGAATGTACAGTTGCTCAATCATTTTGGCAATCAATAATAATTGGATTGAATTATTGCGAAATGCTCGCCCTACTATAATAAATAAATACATAACTTGGGATGATATACTACCATTTGCTCTTTGGGCCATTTGGAATAACAGAAACCATAACAATCACAACAATACAAACACCCATATTAATGGAAAAAAGGTGCTTGACCAAACAATGGAATACACTTTTTTAACGTCCAGAGTCAACACTTTCAACAAAAAAATTAAGCATTAATGTAAAGTGGCAGCCCCCACCAAGGGGTTGGTATAAGATCAACATTGATGGTGCCTTCAGAAGTGGCTATCTTGAAGGTGGTATTAGCGGAGTCATTCGCGACTATAAGGGCCAATGGCGGACAGGTTACCATAAGAAAATACGTGCAATATCACCAATCCAAGCAGAACTTCAAGCATTTCAGCATGCGCTTCAACTAATTATCAGGGAACAAATATTCCCAGTTGAAGTAGAAACTGATGCCACGGAGGTGATACGTTTTCCTTAGGATAATTACCCAACTTACAATAATTTATGCAGGTGATTAATGGACAAGGCATCCATGCAAGGGACAATCACATTGAAGCATAGCTTCCGCGAAGGGAACATGGTTGCTCATCTTTTTGCAAAATCAGCGCTAACGCAAAGTAGCTATAATAAATTATGTGTCTTAGTTTTACCACCTGAATTTATAATAGATGTCTATGACAAAGATCAGGATGGTTATATATATGTTAGAAGTTGCTCTAGGGACCAGTGTGGTCATATGGTTACTTTAGGTAATGACAATGCCTTACATGGCATAATATTAGCCCAAAACGGCATATGTACTAATGACAATGTTAAGGGTCATGAGCCCTAGTTATTATTAATATAAGTACCTTTTATGTTAAAAAAGAATTGTGAAATTTCAGAAAAAAAGTAATAAAAAAAATTAAGTGAAAATAGTATTTGAAAATTAGAGTTATGTTTGGACATGAATACAATTTGGAGTTATTTTTGAATTTTTGTGAGTGATTTGAAGTGAAAATTTTGAAAAACAGTTTTCGGAGTTTTTTAAATTTCCGAAAAATTTCGATATTCAACTTCAAGTGAAATTTTGCACTTGGCCCTGCTCAACTTGAAAGCCTTAGGCTCTAGGGTCTGCCTCCAAACCTCTAGTCTCTCGTTAACACCACCTCGCATCTCGTCAATCAGAACTATGTCATTAGTAAATAATATACACCATGACACCTCTCCTTGAATGTGTCGCGTCAATACGTCCATCGCCAAAGAAAATAGAAACGGGCTAAGAGTTGAACCCTGGTGTAACCCCTATCACAATCGGAAAGTGTTCTGAGTCTCCTCCCGACGTCCTAATCTGAGTCTTAACTCCATCATACATGTCCTTAATCACCTTAATATAGGCTACTGGGACCCCTTTAACCTCCAAGTATCTCAAAAGCACCTCTCTCTAGACTTTGTCGTATACTTTTTCTTGGTCAATTACACCATATGCAAGTCCTTCTTTATTTTTCTATATCGCTCCACCAATCTTCTCACAAGGTGAATGACTTTTATAGTCGCACGACCAGGCATGAACTCTGCATGAAGAACACAATGAGTATAAGATTAGTCACATATTCCTTTAATTTTTGCTTTAAAATTTTCAACTTGCATATTCAACTAGAAGGTCACAACACCGTGTACTTATTTTCAAGTCAAATTAAAACTGGCGATTTTAAGATGCCTCTGTTTCTACTTACATTTTTGAATGGGATATCGCAAAATTGTGAGGGGTTAACGCTTTTTCAAATTATTTGAATACTTATGGATAAGGGATGTTTCCTATACTTTGTAGAATTCTACAGCCATCCGCTCCTCACTCTACCAAAATTCTGCTATCCATCAAAGGTAAATAAAACAAGCAAAAGGTTTTTATACAATATTTAATTTTTTTCTTCTATAGTATTTAGTAAATTTTAAGTAAACATAAATTATACATATTCAACCATCAAAATTATAATTTTTTCCAAATTTAAAAACAATTCAAACATCTCAATCTTTTAGTAAAATTATAGAAGCCTTAAATCCCTATAAAACTCTATGGGAAGTCTAAAATTAGCCATAATTAACTGGGGGAAAAGGGTTTGTCGAACATTAATAAAGCCGTGACTACAGCGGCCTTCTCCAAGGAGAAGAACATGAAGTGTTGGAGAAAAGGACAATTAATTCCTCAAGAAATAATATTTGAGTTATTCTCATGGCTTCCTGTAAAATCTTTAATGCGTTTCAAATGCATTTCTAAATTTTATAACTCCCTAGTATCGGAATCAAATTTCGTGAATATTCATCAATGTCGCTCTATGACTCGTCCTGGAGGAACCAAATTGCTTGTGCGCCAAACAGGAGTTTTTTACACTGTAGAGCAAAATGAAGATGGAAAATCCTACCTTCATCATATTGAAGATTTTGATGGATTCTACAATTACAGTAACTACGTCGATTTGAATACTTATATAGAGTGTGTTAACGGTCTATTTTGCTTTTGGAGGGAGACATGGCAGCCTGTTATAATTTGCAATCCAAGTACAAGAGAAGTAAGAATTCTTCCCCGTATAGATATGAAATTTTGTATGTGTCACTACTCATTAGGTTTTGAACCAGAAAAAAAGATTTATAAAGTCTTTTTCATGAAACCTGAATATATCGAAGGGTCTTTAGAAAATTACACAAGAATTTGGGTTTTCGCTTTGGGTATAGACGAATCATGGAATGAGATTGAAAGCATTCCACAGTTTAAGCGATTTAGGGGCGCCGTTTGCATTAATGGTGTTATCTATATGGTGAATAGTTGTATTAATAGAAAAAATATAGTTGCATTTGATGTGAAAACTGAAAGTTTCAGAATTGTTACATTGTGGAAAGCTTCAGATCATATGATAGTTAATTTCAACCTAATAGAAGTGAAGGAAAAATTAGCAGTGGTTGAATATAATGGGATGATGATTAGTGGAGAAATTGATATGTGGATTTTGGGAAACGTTCAAAATGAAGAATGCAATTGGGAGAGGTATATTATTATTGGTTTTACCTCGATTTATGAGGAGATGGAACGCCATATAAGGCATTTTAGAATGCATTTTTATTATTATGATGGGCAGATTATATTCCTTGCTAAGGTAAATTATCGCGATAAATTCTCTTACTTTTGTTATGATATTACAAGAAAAAAATGGAAAGAATGTGAAGTTGAGGGATTTTGTGGAAAGGATCCAATTCGAGGCATTTATAGATATGTAGAGAGCCTCGCCCCATTGGAATAATTTTGCATCAATTTTCCTGAGCCGGAGCCTATTGGAAACTGCCTCTCTGCTCCATCGTGGTAGGGGTAAAGTTTGCGTACATAATATTCTCCTCAGACCCCACTTGTGAAATTTTACCGGGTCGGTGTTATTGTTGTTGATCGACAAGTTTAAACTAAGTGCCGAGGCATTTACTTCACAAGTGCAGGATGCAAGGATGGGAAGACTTATTAAAAACACATTAATTCTGTGGTTGGTGAAAAACTTTAAGTGTTGTGCAGACATTTGATGAACCAATACTCTGGTTAGATATCATTTATTTCCTTGTTGCTCGTGACATTATGAACATTATAAATCTCTTTTCCAAGTTTGTATGTTATTGTTTTAATTTAATTTATAAGCCAATAAGATTTTCCATAATAAGAACCAAGGTAGTGTATCTATCTATATCTATCTATATTGTTATAAAAGCACAAATGTTCCACGCTAAATGTTATACGATTAAAATATCCCTGAGATATTAGTCGACTTTTATGCCCTTAAATATTTGTGTTAAAGGTGGATATAATTGTAATATTCAAAATATTACCTAAGCAAGAAATTCTTTTCTGAGTGTTTACCTTGAAAATGGTAATAACAATTAGATTTGATTTTGTGGTTCTAAAAATATGTGATCTATTTTTATGCTAGTTATTAAGCAGTGGATGCTGAGCGACGAGATTAGAAAACAACATAAGAGTTTGAAGATGGCTTTAGAAACCAAACCAAATGGTTGAGAATCGGGGCCTCGAGCTAGCACGCGCCGGGCCTCGATGCCGAGTTAGACGCCCGACTAAGGGTTGTCGATGGGGATTAACAACTATCAGGGTTGTGACTGCGGCTCTTTCTGGCCAATAACGAGCGATAAATGAAGAACGATTAATGATACACAATAAATGTAAATAAAGCAATAAATGTAAGCAACAGAGTCAAATAGGGAGTATGTTTAAGTTAGAGATCAAAAAGAATGTTCTTGTATTGAATAAAGTATCTTGTGTCTTAGATGCCTTTACAAAATGACAATGATCCCCTTTTATAAGGAGGGAAATCCCATCATAATACATGAGTAATTATTACAAAGAAACATAGCTGGAACAACTACTTACTAGTCTGGTACAGATTTTTTCTCTTGCAGGCTTTGTCAGTCTTGATCATGTGCCTTGGGAACTTTCCGTTGGTGCGACGCAGCCGTTGGTTTGTACTGCCTCGAGGTCGATCATCACGAACCCTCGGAGACGAACTCCGAGCTAGACTTCGAGCCCTCGGGTTGGTCTTTTTTTAGGCGCCCTAGTGATCACAAAATCGAGCCCTCTGATTTTTACCGTATACAGATAGTCTCCGCATTTCTTAGAATAAAACAATAAGAAATGATTTTGACACCGATCCCCGCGAGCCTCTTGCGATGATGTCGTGCTCATGACGTCAGCTTTTCTGACAACTGAGACGTCCCATCGACACGTCTTTCCGAGGAACATTTGATGTAGCGCCAGTTTACTTTCTCAAGGCAATAATATCGTCGTCGACCCGTTTCTCAACAGGCATTGATTGCGCCCGTTTCTCAAGATCGGGTACCATCTCGAGGCTTTTAGTGATATCAATGGCTCCTTGTAGCCTGCCTTCTTTTTTTTTGACAAGGGTCCTCAAGATCGAGTACCATCTCGAGGCTTGTAATGACATCAGTGGCTCCTTAGAGCCTACCTTCCCTTTGACAAAAAACCTCGAGATCGGGTACCATCTCGAGGCTTGAAATGATATCAATGGCTCCTTATAGCCTATCTTCCTTCTGATAGAGGCCCTCGAGATTGGGTTCCATCTCGAGGCTTGTCGATGCGGGGGTTTTTGATCCCCGAAATGCCGTTCGACCACATAAATTGCATGGCATGGTTATAAGACGACCGACGCGATCCCGCCAGTACGTCTCCCCAAAGTGATAGTGGCTTAGCCAGTATTTTTAACTAGCCTTTGAGGTGGGCGGATAGTCACCGCTTGTTTCAATATATATATATATATATATATATATATATATATAGGTTTGTCTTCTTTTTTGGGGATTCTGCTATCCTGAGTATAGAGTTCTCCTCTCTGTGTTAGGTTCTCCACTACTTTAACTTGGGATTCCTTGCTCAGTTTTTCCGCTCCAATTTTCTGACTTTGCCATAGTTATGGTTGTTGCGCCAGGATTCGTCCGGAAAGGAGGAGGGAGTTCCGCCTCTGACCCCTGTTTGGTTGGTGGTGCGCCGCCGGAGTCAGGCGAGCTGCCTTTAGGACATTTCGCTTCGAGGGGGAATTTTCCTACAGAAAAACCTCCCAATGCCCAGGGGCGTTGGGAGCATGCTTCGAAGCTTACCTCTCTAATGGGAGAGGAGCATCTTGAGTTAGTGAGAAAAGATTGCGGATGGGGGGAGAAAGTAATACTGCAAGTACCTTCCCCAGAAGAGAGCATTATGGACCGTACCGAGGGGTTTCTGAACGTATACACGTAACCCTTCATGCTGGGCCCCCTCGATAGGGTTGTGCTTGATTTTTGTCGGAAGTATCGGGCTACCTTGGCTCAGATTCACCCGTCGTTTTGGCATATCGTACTGATTATGCGATTTTTTGTGGAGGGGGCAGGCTCGATTTTATGGTTAGTCATCTCATCAGGCTGTACCGGCCTTTTCACCATCGAGGCCTGCTAACCCTGCGATGCCGATCCACTAGGCCCTTCGTCGTTGACGACGAAGAAGATGGGGACCGGGAAAGGATGAGCCGATTCATTCGAGTATGGACTGCTGACATTATCCCAATGGAGTTCCTACCGTTTCCCGGGGAATGGAATTTTGCATGTAAGTGTTATACTTATGTCTTTGTTGTTTTGCTCGCTTTGTTCATGGCGGAGGCGAGCTCCGTAAATGCATTTTTTTTATTCCCTTTCTGCAGCAATTTCATGGATGCCCTACGAGGTCCTTGATATGACAGATTGGGCTCGGAACTTAGCGATCCATTCGACCTATGATGGTCGTAAGTGGCGAGATCTATCTAAGGGCAGATGGGAGGCAAAATACCACGGTACGTGTTATGCGATTTTGCTCTTTCTTTGGAAAGCATTCCCCTTTTAAGCGTATTGATTCCGTCTTTGTAGGTATTGGCGGTTTCTCTAAGGTGAGATCGTGCCTTCCCGGAGAGGGGGAAGAATCATCAGCTTCAGGCCGAATAATAATAATAAGCGAAAAAGCCTCCGCAGAGTGACGACGCTCATAGCAGGATGAGTTCAGCCCGGAGGCTTAGTGAGGATGCATCAGTCGAACCTGCAGCGCCCGAGGCGAAAAACGACGGTTCCCTGCCGCCGGCTTCTCCTCCCGTTGAAGGTACTTCGAGGGATGCTCGAGGCCGGGGGCAGCATATATCGAGCGACCATGTCCCGACTAGGAGTGGTTTTACCGGGTTTGACGGAACCAGGCTAGCGGATGTGCGCTCGACTTTTGAGGAAGCTCAGCAGCTCTACTCTGAGGTGAGTTTTGGCCGGCCATGTTAATTCCTTGGTTTTCGCAACTTTTATTCTTTTTATCGAGTTTTTCCTTTGCAAGCTTTAAGCAAGCTCAAATCTGAACTGCTTCGTTGTGAGGCCGGGCTGCAGGGAGTCGTGGATCGGGAGAAATCCCTTAGGCTCCTTTGTGGTGAAAAGGAGGATAAGTTGGCGCACTTGCGGTATGAGGCGAGTCGAAGCCTGAACTACGAAAGCTAACTTGAAGAGCAGGTAAGTTTTGTTCTCAGGGGTGCATGTTCCCTTGTCTATCCCAGAGGCTGATGTTTCGTTTATTCCAGTTGCAGAAGAAGTCGGAGAGCCTGGAACGCCTCGAGAGTGAAATTGCCCAAATTAAATGCCATTGCGATGAATTGAAGGCTCGGATGGATGCTTAGGTTGTGGCGGAAAAGGCCGCTTTGTCCAAGGCTTCCGCCTTCGAAGTTGAACTTACATAGCTCGTGAAAACAGCTTGGTCCGAGTGGACATGATTACAAGGCTCGAGTCTGAGCTTCAGAAGGTGAGGGACGAAGTTGTGGATGCCCGGGCCGAAGCCGTAATGAGCTGAACTAAGACCAATAAGAAAGTGGCCGTTTACCTGAAGGATGCGGCCGATGCTCGAGCTGAGCTGAGGAGGGCTCTTGACCGTAAGGACAGGAGCAGGGAGTATGTCGGTGCAAGTCTTGAAGGGAGACCCTCGAGGAGATTCATGCTAGGGGCTTTGACCTCTCAGAAGAGGTAAAATAGGCAAAGGCGAACGAATTTGACGCTAAGTCCCTTCTGTCTAATTCCGATGATAGCGAGAAAGAGGCCGACGGGCCATAGTCCCCGATGAGGACGTAGACTGGGCCTTCCTTTACCGATTCTGTGTATAGTGCTTTCAGGGAACATTGTAAATGGAGTTTGTATTTTTCATACAAGTGTATAAAGGAAACCGTGTGGGCTTTATTCTTCATGCACTTCCTTTTGCTTCGATGATTTTCAGTTATTAGCCAGGTGAACTAGTCTTCTGATTAGAAGAACCCTTAGGTTTATAGTACGGCCCTGAGGCTTGTTGGACTGGCTCGTAGGCTCTTACGCGTCTGGTCGGTACGACCTTTTAGTATAAGCCAGCGTTTAAGCTCTTAGGCATATTCGATTAACTTTTTGGGGTTCAGTATCCCAGTCAGGTTTCGACTCGAGCTTATTGACCCTTAAGTCTTTGAATTAAAAGCTGTCCCTCAAGCTCTTATGCGATGGGTCGGTACGATCTATTTCATGAGCTGGCGGCAGTGGCTCTTACGCTTTAGGTCGATATGACCTATTATATGGGCTGGCGACAGTGGCTCTTACGCATTGAGTTGGTATGACCTTTTATATGGGCTGGCGACAGTGGCTCTTACGCATTGGGTCGGTATGACCTTTTATATGGGCTGGCGAAGTGGCCCTTACGCATTGGGTCGGTATGACCTCTAACATAGGCTGTATTTTTCCCTCGTTAAGGACTTTTTGAAATTTGTGTTTGCCTAACTCTTCACGGTTCCATAAAAACCTCGATTGTGAGTCATTATGTGGCGATATGCGAGCACCTTGGGAGGTTTTGCTCGGCGGCTGAGTGTTTCGAAGCCTGTAGTTTGGAGCTGACATGGTCGAAGCTTTTTTGCCTATGTCGAGGGTAGCCTATTTAACCGGTTCTATTCGAAGTACTTTTGAAGTAATTGAAGGCCTGTGATTTTATAGAGACGGTCGGGCGTCCCCGAGTCGCATTAGTTTGGCTGGTACAGCCTTGTGACCGTAGTCATTGTGTTTGGCCGGAGCCTTTCAGTCCCCGAGTGAAGTAGTTTACGGCGTCTATATCGAGGGTATGCCTTTTTAGGGGTCTTATAAGTTCGATATATAGCCTTAACTTTAAGATCAGGATTATGCCTTTTGTAAGGTCTTAATAAATCTTTACATGCCATTGAGGTCTTACAGCTTTGGTTACTTGGTACAAGTATGGTTCATGCCTTGTTTGAGGTCTTACAGTTTTGATACTGCCTTAGGAAGGTCTTATGAATTTTTACATGCCTTTAGGTCTTACAGCTTTGAAATTGCCTTATAAAGGTCTTATGAGTTCGTAGTTTTCGACGCGGAGGTCATAAGGTCATGTAGCCTTGAGTTTTCGATGCCAGTCCCCGAGCGTTCGGGACGTTTTTTGGCTTCTGGAGCCGTTTTTTGCGATCTTAATGTTGCCTCATTGAGGGCTTAGCTTCGAATTTTTTACGCCAGTCCCCGAGTGTTTGGGATGCCAGCCCCCGAGTGTTTGGGACATTTTGGGCCCTGGAGCCATTTTTGTAAGAAATGGCGAGCTTCTTTGAAACGCGAAATGCTTTGATGGAGGGGAAAGTATTCTTTGATTACTTGGTACAAGTATACATGTTTTCGCCATCTAGGGCTCAGTTATTCTATACGGACACGGTACGTTCGGCCGTTTGGCCCGGTACATCATTTTCCTATCGAGACCCCGTTCAGCACATCTTGGTTTCTCCGAGGCGGTGGCCTTCCGGGGGGATTCCCCTCAGTATTCGAGACTGATTGAAGAGAAGCCTTGAATACTTGTTGAGCCTTCCTTAGGTTGCATATGGATGTTGCCTCATTAAAAACCTTGTCGGTAAAAACCCTTCCATGGATAAAACCCGATCGAAGGAAAAGAGTGCAACTCATGCTTTCGAAACCTAAGGCCTTCAGGTTGGGAAGCGCTTCGGCAGCATCGATAGAGTGCCTGCATACACGGTTAGAGCAAAATCTGAACGAAAAAGGGAGATAATCATACCTTAGTGCCGGCGATGCCTCGCGTCTTAATATGCTTCGACCGTTTGCTTTGAGGACGCGGTACGGTCCGTTGCCTGTTTTAGTCGGGTGTAACCGAAAGTATAGCTTGTTATTGCTATTTTACCGCTTGCTTATCCTTTGGCTCCTTCGATGATGGAGGTATTGGTGTCGGTGCCACATCATGCATCACAAATATCTCTTTTAATGCATGTTGTTCTTCGTAGACGGGTTTTATCCCGTCCTTTGTCGGGAACTTCATCATTTGATGGAGGGTGGACAAAACTGCCCTCATGTAGTGTATTTATGGCCTTCCAATCAAGGCATTATACCTCATATCTCCTTCGATGACATGAAACTTGGCATTTTGGGTTGTGCCAGCCATGTTAACCGGGAGGGTGATTTCTCCTTTGGTCATTTCGCTTGCCATGTTGAATCCGTTGAGGACTCGAGAAGCGGGCATGATCTGGTCGAGCAGTCCGAGTTGCTCCACCATCCTCGACCTGATGATGTTGGCCGAGCTACCTGGATCCACAAGCACACGCTTAATTTGAAATGTATTTACAAGAAAGGAAATTACCAATGCGTCGTTATGGGGCTGAGATAGAGCCTTGAGGTCTTCGTCGCTGAACGTGAGGGCGTCCTCGGGTACGTAACCTCGAGTTAGCTTTTCCCTGGTGATGGAAATTTTTGTTCTCCTAACCATGGGTTCTTGTGGAGCATCGATACCTCCGAAGATCATGTGGATAACATGTTGTGGCTCGCTTGTTTCACTCTTATTGGTCGCCTCTCTTTCCCGAAACTGATTCTTGGCTCGGTCGCTGAGGAACTTTCGGAGGTGACCTTTGCTGAGTAGTCGGGCTACTTCTTC